AGTTGGAATGCATAGATTCTGTAAGTATCCCCTTAACATCAGTCCAACACTCCAGGATACTTGTACCATCCTTGGGGCACCATTCCAGCTTCACTGGCCCGCAATGTAATCCAAAATAAGAGGAACTAATATGATATTAACAATATATATTATCTTTGAATTATAAAAATAAAACAAATATTCACTTACAAACCTACTTCAATAAAACTGTTAAAAAACAAAAAAAGAGGAAAAAAGTAATAAAAAAAAATTTGCAAAAATTAAGTATGATGTAGTGATGGCAATGCCTAAAAGTACAGAAACGAGGTAGGGATGAATACAAAAAAACCATATAGAAGTAGCCGGTAAGTATTGAGTTAATCTCACAAACTTATCATTGCCCTAGCTTCGCTGTTTCAGAGGGATGGGCCACCCCACCTGTCTTTTCTCCCACCCATTTTCTTCATGTTTGACGATCTTCCCCACTCTACAACCTAGTATTAAAAAAGCCTATGCTACACATTTCAAAATCTATGGTATGCACCCTCTAAAGTCCTGCTTATTATATTACTGATGAACAGAATATATCTAATGTTAGTATTAAAGGATATACTCGCACGAGGTTGCAAACAACCAACTCTGCACACATCCCCATACATACAGTATGTATTTTCTCTCACTCCAGTACTGCAAAAATCCTACACAGTACACATGTGGCACTGTTGGAAACATCACTTCTCAATTCCACATGTAGCACATGAAACATGACATAAGGTGGGAGTTGTTGTACGGTGTCAGGTATCACAATGGGCTTAAGTGGAAGAACAATCCATCGTCACCAAATACTTTTAGTCCTTTAAGTCACTGCGAGAAATATTAAAGGTTTGTAACAGAATTTATTTGAAGGAAATTGGCCAGTAATTTGTTCCTGAGAAATTTCAAAGTGAATTGATGAAGTAGTGGCTTTTCGTTTTGATCCCAAGCAAAGAAATTATGGTTGTAACACCTTGTGTTGGCCTATTTGTTACCAAAACTGTTATCCATCATGTGCAATGTACATACAGTAGTTTCACGAAAATTTGATGAAGTGTTTCAGTCATTATCTAGCCTAAGCCTTTGTGACTTAAGGTCAGGAATTCAATCATGTGATATGGAGATGGTGTAAGCTTATAGAGAGCTAGAATGACTTTTGAAAATTTGTGGGATTTCTGCTATTTGTTTAACTGGTAGAATGATAGATTCTTAAGATTAAGAATTAAGAAACAAGTCTACTGACGTTAGTCCTAAGACATTTTGATAGGCCTAGGCCTGGATAGATTATAATTATGAGCCTGTAGTGTTCATTTATGGTACCCATGGATTACTTCAAACTCTACTTCACTGATATTCACTTTCAATTCTGGAGACACCTGTCACTATATTGTTAATAATTATCTACTGGCTTCACCAGATGGTTGTTTGTTTTGTTTGATATCCATTGCTTGTCCATTTGAAAGTTCTTTGGTGCTGCATTTTCCAAAGAAGGACAGTCACAACATATGTACAGCATGATGCAACATGCTCCTTCCTGCCTATGTAGTATTGGCATCACAATTAAGCATAGGGGGCTTCAAGGTACAGGGTATTCTGTAATTGTACATGTATGGATGTTGTGTATTTGATTTCATATTATTTTATTTTTTGTAAGATGTGTGCTTTTTAGAATTATGATTCGTAATGTAACTTATATGAATTCCTAGCTTATTGATAACATGCTGTAAATGTAGTTGCTCTCAAAGTTTGTGTCCAAATCAGATATATTGCAATAGGTGAATTTCTTTTCAAGTTACTTGATTTGGGTAACCCATATATATTTCTGACCATTTTGTCCACATTCTTTTCACATCATTTATTTTTTCCTGTTTGGACAAAACAATGCCACAAGCAGTCAGGAGAAGGAAAGAGAAAGACAAATTGTTTGCGGAAGTTGCAAAATCAAACTTCACTTTGAAAGACATGTTTGCCAAGTTAGTTGTAAAACTTTTAACCATGTTTCACCTATGTGAAACTGAATTATTGTAAGGTTTAGTATAAGCAGGAAAGTATAACCCAAAGGAAGGAGTTTTAAGGGGAAAGAGGGGGAGTTTATATACACAAATACAGTCAGTGTAGCCTGATAAACATACAAATAATATTTCAATTGTTGTTACTTTTTAAATGGTGTTCTGATAATAAAGGTAAAAAACTTAAAAATATTTTTGCTCTTTCAGGAAGAAAACTCATACTGATTCTACTGGAGAAGGTGCCACGGGCAGCCAGGTAAAAGATAAGTCTGACCATGAAGGGCCTAGTACTTCACCTGATCTTGAAGAAGAGCTATACATGTATGAAGAGACAAATGCCACTAAAAAACAGAAGACAGAAATGGCACATCACTTGCTGGAGGAGTCCAGTTTCGGTGCAGATGAGGATGGTAAAAAAGATTTTGATAGTGATAAAGATTATAGCAACAGTGATAGTAACACCAGTATTGCTTCTCAACAGAAAGACTCCAAGAAAAGGAAACATAAGGTCAGTGTTAACTCAATTCTTGAGCTCAACTTTCCATTTATCACCATTAAACATGAAAGTAAGGTGAGTGGGGAGAAAGAACCTGTTATGTTCTGCAAACAAGGCCAAAAACACAACTGCTTGAGAGCAAACAAGAAAGGAACATGGGTTACAGAAGGTTATAAACTACTAAGAAAGGACAAAGTGAAAGCTCACATCAACTCAGAACAACACAAATGGGCAGTGAGCCTGGATGTTGACAATGAGATGCAGTCCAAAATTGAAGAAAGGAATAAAACAGAAAACATGTAAAGTGTAAATTCCATGTTTGAAATTGTGAGGTACATTGCACTATGTAATCAAGAGTTGGAAGAATTTGGTGCTCTTGTAAATCTTTCCATTTGTACAGGATCAAAGGAACTATTACTTTTGTGTCATACCAGTAGTTGTACTTACACCAGTCCCACAGCAGTTCACAAGCTGCTGGATGCCCTAAGAGTCCTGCCAGAAATAACTACACTATCTTTGTCTTCTACAGAAGTGGAAAGGCTCTTCTCTCATTTGAAGCTGAGCAAGTCTGATTACAGAGCTAGCCTCAGTGACAAAGAGCTCAATCAGCTGCTTAACATCAAGATGAACCTTGAGAATGATGAGTGGACAGATGTTAGAACAGCAGCATCAGAGAAATAGCTTTCTGCTAAAAACAGATGTTTAAATTTTTTCTATAGAAGGAAACTAAAGGTTGAATAATAGCACAGTGTTTGGTGTTTGCTTCTTCCAACAGACCATTTGACCACTAATTCTGAATCCTGTGAGTGCCAAACTTTTGTCCTGAATCACTGATTCATTGAACAATTGTGTAATGTGCAAACTGGGTAAGAGGTCAGAGTTCATAAATCAGAAGGAAAGATGCTTGTGCCATCAGTCAATTTAAAAAAAAATTGTAAAGTTATTAAAATATGAAAAATTTTCAGAACATAATTCTAGAGAGCAAGATCCTAAACAGTACAAAGTCATACTTGATTATATTTGACAATATTAGACCATTTTGGGGCAGGAAAGATGTCTAGATAATGTAACTGCAAAATATTTAACTGCTAGATAAGAAAATATAAATGATTTGCCTTTAAAATTATGTCTGCCAAACCTTCTTATCTTTCTGAAAGCTACTCTTAATCAGATTAGAATTTCTTATCCCTCTTATCTCATTGGAATCTTGTAAAGATTGATGAATTAGATTCCTTTGGGGTGGCATTCAATTAATATCAACACTTTAGTAGGACTTATAACACCATCAGTAACGTAAGAAGAAACACTGTACATGTTAAAGCATGAGATGCAATAAGGCAACAGCGTTTTTACAAAGCTGTTAATTTTATGTACATACACCAAGACTATTGTGATTGCACACAAAGACAATAGGTTATTATGTAAAGGAATATGAATGGTTGCTAATTTAGAAGTTTGTTGTTTCAAAGCAGTGCACAAAGTGTTACCTTTTTCATATTGTTGTGAGACATTCATGCATTGAACTTAAAAGATTTATGAAAATATGCAGAAATGGTGGTGTTGTTGAGACAATAAAATGCTCAAGATTCTTTCCTTAATTTTGACTATATTTACTCTGACAAAGAAACTGTGCTAGTATAGACTCTTCTTGACACCCACTGATGTATCTTTTAAATTTGTAAATATATAACACAGCCCTTCAAATGCAGCATTCTTAAAATTTTACAGGGTCCTGTCACACACATAATTGTGTGTATCAATTCCTGAATTCTGTCAAGCTTGGATTTAAGTGAGAGGATTACATTTATCTTTGAAAAACCAATAATAAAATTATTGTAAAACTTGATTCAAGATACATCTATTGTTCAATTAAATACAGGAATAAATGTGAGTTGTCAAATGAAACCTTCAGATTACATAAAAAAAATACAAAACAAAAAATAATGGAGGACATTTCTCTTTCAAAATTCATTTATATATTTCAGTTTCTGAAATGGATACTTAACTTACCTGGTAACAGCACCCAAGTTGATAGCATGAGGATCTTTCTGAATCTTAATAAAATGATATAGAATTGCCTAATCCTCAGGTAGGATAAAAGCTGAAATCCTTGAGTTTATGCACACAAATGTGCCTCTTCAACTAAACTCCACCCTGCCCCTTTTTCAATCAAGCTTTGGATCTGCTTATGGTTATTAGCCAATGTAAGACTGTAATAGCACAATTCATTTTAAATGCTTTTATTCAAACCTGAATTCATACAACTGACATGCATTCAGTATTTAGTTGTAGATAAGTTATTCTTGGAAAGATTTGGCTCCTTATGTAGGGACTTTTGTATGGTTTTGTGTATTTAACCTCATCTTGTTTCTGTACTTTTTGGCATTGTCATCCCTACGCCCTACTTAATTTTTGCAAAAAAATTTTATTAGCTGTAAAATAAGCATTTATTACTTTAAACAACTGTTAAACAACATAGATACATACCTTCAATTATGTCTTGCTTCATTTTATTAATCTCTTTTTTAATTTCTGTCAACAGTTCTTGTTTCAGTCTGTCTGTATCTACTGAATCAATGCCATTAGCTCTACACAAGTCTCCATCCACAAATGACTCAAACAGACTCCTATTAGTTTTAAACAAAACAGAAAAATAACAAGCCTGTAACTCAAAGCAATAACTTCAAAGTTGCATATAAATTGTTTACAAAATAAAATTTTTATATCATGAATGGACGACTGGGTATATTAGGATCAGGATAATTTTAATTGCAGAAACTAACCTGCAACTGTGTATACATTAAGATACTATCAGAGATTCTGACATTTGAAAATAGTACTATAACACAACACAAACCTTGCTCAGACCCAAAAATGGTTTGATCATCACGACAGCTACCATGTACAAAATACCACTGTTACAGTACTCCTGTTGAATTGTGAAATATACAAGTCAAGTTGAAATCATATTGTAATCAATGTACATTTGTGATTTTCTTAAATAAGTACTACATATTTCAATATGTAACTATATTTAACTCAGCTTGTATGTTTGAGACCTCTTTGTCTTGGTTACCAAAAAAGTTATTGTCTTTGAAGAAAATACAGAACTTGTTATAATAATATTGCCTCCAGTTTGTGTTTCAGTGTTTCCTATAACTCTATGAGAAACCTTAAAATCTAACCAGGTGTGAATAAGGGTACTCTGATCGGTGACTGTGTGTATGTTACGAAGAGCATACTCTGAGCTGTGGCTTTGTATATATTAGGAAGAAAGTACTCTCAGTGGTGGGATTCAAATATTTTAACAACAGGTTCTCTCACTAGCAGCATGTAAAAATATTAGATATTAAAAAAAAGGAGGGGCCAGAAAGGTACTCTTTGACCTGTGACTTTGTATATATTAGGAAGAAGGTACTCTTTGACCTGTGACTTTGTATATATTAGGAAGAAGGTACTCTTTGACCTGTGACTATTCATGCATTAAGAAGATGGTACTCTTTGACCTCTGACTGTGTATACATTAGAAAGAGGGTACTCTGACCTTTGACTTTGTATATATTAGGAAGAAGGTACTCTTTGACCTGTGACTATTCGTGCATTAGGAAGATGGACCTGTGACTGTGTATACATTAAAAGCGTACTCTGACCTGTGACAGTGTATACATTAGAAAGAGGGTACTCAGAGCTGTGACTTTGTATATATTAGGAAGAAGTTACTCTTTGACCTGTGACTATTCGTGCATTAGGAAGAGGGTACTCTGACCTGTGACTATTCGTGCATTAGGAAGATGGTACTCTGACCTGTGACTATTCGTGCATTAGGAAGATGGTACTCTGACCTGTGACAGTGTATATTAGGAAGAGGGTACTCTGACCTGTGACTGTGTATATTAGGAAGAGGGTACTGTGACCTGTGACTGAGTATACATTAGAAAGAGGGTACTCTGAGCTGTGACTATTCGTGCATTAGGAAGATGGTACTCTGACCTGTGACAGTGTATATTAGGAAGAGGGTACTCTGACCTGTGACTGTGTATATTAGGAAGAGGGTACTGTGACCTGTGACTGAGTATACATTAGAAAGAGGGTATTCTGACCTGTGACTATTCGTGCATTAGGAAGATGGTACTCTGAACTGTGACTATTCGTGCATTAGGTAGATGGTACTCTGACCTGTGACAGTGTATATTAGGAAGAGGGTACTCTGACCTGTGACTGTGTATATTAGGAAGAGGGTACTGTGACCTGTGACTGAGTATACATTAGAAAGAGGGTACTCTGAGTTGTGACTTTGTATATATTAGGAAGAAGGTACTCTGACCTGTCATAGTGTATATTAGGAAGACGGTACTCTGACCTGTGACTGTGTATATATATTAGGAAGACGGTACTCTGACCTGTGACTGTGTATATATATTAGGAAGAATGTACTCTGACCTGTGAATGTCTATACATTAAGATTAGAATATTCCTAATTGCAAAGCTCACCTGCGAATGTGTTTTGGAGATTCAGAACTGCTACCTTTTCCAGGGCTGAAACCATTCACAGAACTTTGCCTTTCCCAGGATCGTTTTCCCTCTGATCCTGGCGTCGTAGGCTCTCCATCCTAGTTTGAGAGAAAGTACAACAAATGCATTACTGTAAAAGTCTAGTTACAATCCTTTTTATTTCAGAAATTTCATAAAATACAAGTTTCAATGAAAGCCTTACAAAATTTGCTACTATCAGTATGTTCAATAATTTTGTATTTTTTTTAAATGCAATAAATATTTTGTAAAATGCTTATTAGATATGTTTCATTAGTTACTAGCACAACTAGTAAAGTTTAATGAAGGATTGGTAACAATCAGCATTAATATGATGCACTTTCTAATATTGCTATTTCATGTTTTGCTATGAATATGTTAAATTGTAAAAAGGAATCCATCTCTGAAAAACGGATCACACAACATTTCTTTAAAAGATGCTTTCCACTGACATAAGTTAACAATCACATATTATGGTAACAATAACCATCAAACCAGTTTAGAATCATCAAAATTCTTGCACTCACTTGACTGTTTTGATTATTTTCTGCTTGAGCTCTCCTATGAAAAGGAAAATAAAATAAAAAATCAGTAAATCTAACATGAAAGTAACAATTGTGTAATAATTCAAAATCCATAAAACATAGCTTGAAAGTGATATCTTTACATTCTTGTAATATACTAAGTAAAAATCTCAACCTAAAGTTATTAAACCACTAGAATTGCTAATAATTCCTTCCTTTGTTTTAACCACGGCCACCAAGATTATTTTTATCCAGTATTAATAGAAAAAATTATTTATGTTCTGTTTTGTTTAAAAAATTTTACCTTTACTTTATAATAAGTAAGAATCTAAAAGACCAGTAGTAAACTACACACTATGATTTAGTTCTTCTCTAGCCCAAGCTTACTTCCAATATTAAATGACAAGAAAATAATAATGTTATGATCTTGTCTGAATCCATACTCTCAAACTGTTATTGAAAACCATTATCATAATTCATTATATTCTCAAGAAAGCTTCCTGCTCATGGCATATAAAAGAATTTAACAAGTTTTTATATACCCATACATTTAGAAGTGTTTTTTTTTAATGTTGTTGTTGTCATCAGAAATGCATAACAGACAACTTACCTCCTAGCTAATGTTTTTGTCATTTCATCCATCAACCCAACAGGAGCAGGCCGTGTTGGTTCATTCTCTGACACCTGTAACAACACATGTTAAAAAGAATTGAAAATCTCCATTATCATCTGATTCACATATTCCAAATATTTATATCTGAAGTTTTGTTTGTTTGAAATTAAGCACAAAGCTACACAATGGGCTATCTGTGCTCTGCCCACCACGGGTATCGAAACTCGGTTTCTAGCGTTGTAAGTCCACAGACGTACCGCTGTGCCACTGGGGGGCAAAATCTGAATTAAAGAAAATTGAACATGTTTGTTCTATAAATTATGTACACTTCTTTTTTCAACTTTTAATACTCCAAATTCCATTTACTCACTTCTTAGCATAGAAAATTAATAATTATGGTCATTTTAAGAGGTTTCTCTATTCTTATTCTAAGTTTGATGCTTAAAACAATTTCATATCCACATGAATTAAGTTCATAAAATGTTTAAACTATCTAATTTTTAATAAAAATCATTCTTTATAACACAGCATGTAGTTGTAGTTCTCACAGAGATACCAACAGCTTAGCAAATATACACCTTTTAATACAATATCATATCTTAATCACAGATTCACTTGATTTTATCTTTAGGGTTTGTTTCACATTTACTGCAACATGATCTTTACTATTTCAAGAAATGCACTATAAGAAACATGATGAATAAAAATAGTAAAAAAATATCTCTATAAAACAAAATTCAAATGTAATGGGAAGATATCATTAACAGAAATAGTAATAACATCGTAACTTCAGGGAACACAAGTTTTTGCTACTGTAGTTTCAACTAACAGCTTCTTCAGATCTTCACACAGACTCAAAACACAGCATATAAAACATGGAGATCGTTAACTTTGGATAATTATGTGAGAAACTCTGTGATATTGTCAAAGTATAAGCAAGTGTTGATGTGTTATATACGCGTTCCTTACCTCAGTCGTCGTGTTCATTATATACTATAATATACACATAAATCAATATATACATGATGTATGCAGTTTTATACATGTATATATATATACTGATAAAATTAGAGATATCACATGATATTATAAAAACAATCTCAGCAATATTTAAATCATATTTCATACTTCCTTTATAATGATTTACACTCAGTATATTGCAGATACTTTAATATGCTGTTTACATTACAACAGTACAATTTCTCTTCTGGAACAGTGTTTAAACAAATAGCAGTGTACTCACACCAAGCAAACCTGTTATTTTCTGTTAAACTTCTTACAAAACACTACAGACAGAAAATACAAAGAAGACTCCTATCACTAAAAGATACAAACCAAAATCTACAGAGACAAAAGCTGGCATCTGGAGGCAATCAATCCTTTGAAATGCACAATACTAATAGTGCAATATAGACTATAATTTTGATGCCATATTAAAAAAATTATATACACATTTATTACATTTTCTGTGTCTACTTTTGCATGATTTATCTGTACAACATAAGTATGTTGACTTCTTCACTTGTTGTACATACGTATATGTAGTGTACATTTAACAAACAAGTTTCAAAATTGTTTTCATCAATTCATGTTTCATCTCTTATTTTATCAATATCTATAAATATGTAAACCTTGCACACCTTATGTTTACACATTGATATAATTCAATGTATACAGATATATGAATATCTTACTACATAATGAACATAAAGGCTGCTGGAAAAAATGTATACAAACACATGCATGTACTTCTATATTTCCATATTGCTTAATTATTTTCTTTGTTGTTCTTACAATGAATGTGGTAATAACGTTTAGAAGTAGATGTCACAACAACATCACAATGTTGAATGCTAAGTGCCTGATATCTCCCACATAGCTAGAATGTTCCTCATTCCACAACTAAGGAGCTGTTATGACAGCGGAGGTCACGTGATGCTAGTAACACGTCATGCACTTCTCGAACGTTCACGCCCTTCCTGAAATCTCGAGAGCCTACTAGATATGCAGTAGTCTTGTATATATAAACCGGTAAGAACTGACAGCAAGAAAGTAATGTGTAATTGAACTATGGACAGAGAGACGTATTGTTGAGCACGTGATACGTAACATTGTGAATTATAGCGTTTGTTATAGCGTCACTGTGGAAATTAAGTGTATTGCAAAGTTGTATTTCGAAAGAATAAACCAGTTTTATTTAAGAAAAGACCTGTGTCGCGAAAGTTTCATCCGAAAGAAATTATACGGGAAATTAACTAACGAACGGAGGCGTAACAGAGCTATAACCCATGTTGTGTTTGAGATTGTGAGAATCTGAAGATGTTGTAAAGCAAAATGGACGGTAATAAAAGACAAATGTTCAAAAGTTATCCTATTGTTATTATTTCTTTCAAGAAGATTTAAATCTCTAAGTAAATTTATTATACACATAAAGAAAATGAGAGTTTCAAACTACATACTACACTAAATGCACTCACATATGTATTATCATGCCCATGTATGCAAGATCTCTGCTGTAACTATTTAATAATATTATGCAAATGAAAAGTCAACCTCAAAGTCAAAAGATATATAAAAAATCCCAGTAAGCTGTCCAGACTCTAACACAGTGCTGTATGTCCTATTGTGTTAAATTAGTTCTAACATAATAATAATACGCACATAATGTGAATGTTTATTAACTCTACCTTTGGCTGTGTTGTTCTCAGCTTTGCCGTTTGAAGTGCAGCAGCCAGTGACATTGGGGTACTATTTGTAGATACTTGTCGAGAAAGCATCTGGGAACCACCCACAGGAGGTGGGGGTGGTGCTGGAGGAGCTACATGATTTGGAGGAGGAGGAGGAGGAGGTGGAGGAACAGCTGGTTGAGCTGGCATGGGAGGTGGAACTGGAGGTGGAGTTGATAAAGGAGCTGAGGGGGAGCGATGATGGCCTGATCCACTAGGGGATACACTAGTTGGAGGCACTGGGTGGCTAGTACTGGAATAGCTTCCAACTGATTTATGATTCAAAAACATTATCCCAGCATTACAAAGGAATATAGTTTCACAATGGATTATGATTGAAAAAATAAAATAAATAAATAAACATATATATATTTACACACTGATATTATAATGCTTATTTTACATTAAGTTCATTAATATTTTATAGTGCTGATTTACAATTACAATTAGTTTAAACACTGCTAGTAAATTTCAAATCCTTTCCACTTATTATTGTTTCTTAGCAACTTCTATTTTCTGTCTGTGTGTTTTCAGTTAATCATAAAACATATTTCGGTTCTCTTTATTTTTATATTAGTAATATATGTCATATGTTAGTATAGCTACGTAATATAAGTATACTATATTGGAACAATAATGAAACAACAATGATATTTTATACATTGTTGTATACATGTGCGACAGACTCGAGAGATGGAACATCACAATCAATTTCATAAATTAACGTATACTTCAATATCAAACAGTTTGTATGTATTAATCCTGAAGAAGCTGTAAAAGCAAAACATTGCTAGTAATAAAAAACAAATATATA